TGCAATTTAGTCATGAACTCAGCAGGAGGAACCAAAGCTGGTTCACTCAGCTTCACACTCAGTTGGAAACCATTTTCATTGCCCATTTCCATCTCAAGCTCCTTAATTATCAACCTAAAAAAAAGAAACATGTGTTGAGTGAATGGAAACTGAAACACTCTAAATGAGTCTTAAGATTATGAGAAGCATGTTAGATGAAAGTAAATGGTCAAAGCATGCAAAGTTGGAAACATCATGAAGAACACATGTGCTGTGATTCTCATACCTGGGGTGTCCCTCACACAATATGATAAGGCCAAGGGTTTGAGTTTCTTTAAGAGAAAGTTGCAAGGTATATATGTATGATATGGGTGGTGGTGTTCTTAATTAGATGTTGAAAACATAGCAATGGTGGAAAATAAATATAATGTGAAGGTGAGAGTTAGTTGTTCATAGGCAACGGTGCAAGCTACTAAAAATACGTGGTGTTTTGAAGACTTGTTTGGCCTTATCTATTTAAATTTTTTTTTTTTTATGAACTATGTATGGGTGAGGGTTGGCCACTAGTAAAGAGACCAAAGACAAAAGGAACCAAGTCAGAAGATGAAGGAAAATAGGCTTGTTTGGTGTGGTTGGTATCCCACATTTGCTAACCTAATATTTTGTTTCGTTAGTTGATCTTTACACAAATAATCATTTTTGACAATGAACTTAAAAGTGGCATAATCGGGTTTCAGTAACATGGTTTAATTGCTTTGTTTTTTTTCAAAATATTTCAATTTTTATAGATGGGACGTTGCCTGTTTTGAAATCCAACTATTATATTCATAATTCGAATGCTCTTAGCAATTAATATCCTTTCCAAACAATTTTTTTTTCATCTGAATTGAGAGTGATTTTTTTTTCCTACTTCTTATTTGATTTTTGTATTCTTTCTAGATTTAACAACACTTGGATTAACTCCTAAAATTACAAGTATTCACGTTAAATAATCTAAAATTATATTGAAATTTCAACCAAGGCGATTTTGTGTCTAAAATTGATTTTGAATTTAGGTAACTTTTAAGTTGGATCCAAAAATTTAATTTATACAAAAAAAGCTACTATTAACTTGTTTTTAAGATTAAAATATTTAAATATAGATCACTTTAAAATCAATTTTGTAAATGTTCACATAAATATACACTTAATGCATGCGTAACCATCTTCCTAACAGAAATCTTATTAAGCGCATGTAAAATTTTGATTAATATTTAGAAAAATATTTCAAAGATTTTGATTATAAATTATATCTAAATACTAAATCAATTACTTTAAAACATACACTCAATATCTTTTATTAAATACATCTAGTTAGTCAATAAAAAGTAAAGTAATTAATATTTTCATAAATTCTTAGCATATTTTTTTTTTATTTTTCCTTTTAAATTAAAAAATATATATATGCTAAGAATCTGTATGACTTTTGGAACATTTTACTTGTTATTAATATTCATTATTCAGTGTTTGCTTTTGCGTATGAAAAATCTTAAATCTATTTAGATAAAAACTTGTTACTTTTAACTTTAACTTCAATCGTAATTTGACAATTATAAACGTAAAATTGAACACACTATTCAATGTGATTTATTAAAGATATAGACATCCTAACATCCCTCGCATGTCAGTTTTCCTTTTCTGCTAGGAATATAATTCGTGGAAAATTATCCATTGGTTCCCATTTTCAGATAGAAAATCCTCTCTGCAAACAATCCTAATTTTTGTTTGTTTGATGCAACTTCCTAGCCTTACGTTATGTCCACAATTCTGAGGATAATAATGAAACAATACTAGAACGATAACATGCATTAGAAAGTCTAGGGAAGTTGGAGGGACGTTGGAGACTTTTGTGATATTCTAAGTTGTTTTCATTGTATATGATGAGTAACATTGATATTAAAAAAAGAGGTCGTAGTCAATCATAATGAGATGAGCAAAAATTGCTTAACTTGTATACTTGCACTTCCTTTTCTTGGGTACTGAAAAAATCCAGAAGTCTTTGACCCATATTTAGATAATATATCTTAACGAACACAAGTATAATAGTATATCCTGCTGGCTAGCACGAAGTTGACATGTATGGCAAGGCATTGGAAAATGAACAACAAACAAATTATTATGTAGAAACATATACGAATATGCATGTGTATATAGTTTAGTCCATAAATAAATCAACTTCATGATAAGTTTTTTTTTTTTTTTGAAGGGGAACTTCATGATAAGTTAATCATTTATTAACCTAGTTTCAAATTTATCAACATCATGATAATTTGTTTTCCGAATTTCCAATTTCATGACAATATTAGTTTTCAAATTTGGTCAGCTTCGCACTAAAAAATAATCTAATTTGTCATGAAAATTGACCAAGGATACATTTGGAGATCTTGCAAAAAAAAAATATATATATTTTTAATGCAAATTTTAAAACAAAACATCCTTTCTTAACATGGAACTAAATTAATGTCAACCCAAAAATTTAAAAAGAAAAAAAAATATATATATATATATATATATATATATA